ACACAGACAACAACTGACTCAAATGGCTTTTAGGCGGGACTCAGGTCCAGGTTCAGGTTCAGGTCCAGGTCCAGGTTCAGGATCTAGGTCCAGGATCCAGGTTACACCTGGAATAAATTCACACTATAGACCAGTGGTTCTCAAAAACATTTCAATAATGTACCCCCTTTGCAATTCAGCCAAGTACCCCCTGATCAGCGTAAAAACATTTTGTTAAGGAAAAAATGCCTATATAGAGTTGCCAAGTCACGCCCATCTTCTTCCGACCCATGGGACCTTATTTCGGAAAAATTATGTATTGAAGTCAATGGGGAGAGAAAACTTATCTTTCGATCCCGTTTGAATTGTGCCACGAATTACACAATGATGTTTGTCAATTTAAAAAAATCATTTCCATGTCAAAAAAGTCACAGTTTGTCGTAAAACTGTTGAAATATAAGACTATGAAAAATACGCAACTAGAAAGACTACAAATCCCAGAGTCCCGGTCCCGCATGCTGGCTCTTAGGAACCCACTAACTCCCCTTGTGTGTGTACAGCTCTCAACATGCCCAGACTTGGAGTGATTTTCACCTCTTTTAATACTTTCCGCCTCATTCTGAAAGAAAGAAGTGAAATGTGCCAACGTGACGGCCGTCTTGGTGTGTGGTGCGAGATGGGAGATGTAGTTCACACAAAAAAAAGTGTTACTTCACATTTTTATTTTTTTGACTTGCAAAATTATCTTTTAAATTGACAAACATCATATGTGTAATTCGTGGCACAATTCAAACGGGATCCAAAGATAATCTTTCTCTCTCCATTGACTTCAATACATACTTTTTCCTAAATAAGGTCCCATGGAGCTCCCCCGGGAAGGGAGGGACTTCTCTCTCTATTATCAGAAACTACAGTAACAGTAGCCGTTACTCATCCTCTCCTGCTGTCTCCCTCCTGTTTCCTCAGAGAGGCGGTGGAGCACTTCCTGGAGGCTCTGTCTCTGCAGCGCCAGGCCTCAGTGGACGGAGCGAGGGCAGCGCGGGGTCCCGGGGGGGCCGCCGCCACCATGATGTCCGACAACATCTGGTCCACGCTGCGCATGGCGCTCAGCATGATGGGAGAGAGCCCTCTGTACGCTGCCGCCGACCGACGAGACTTAGACACGTTGCTGGCTCACTTCTACCAGAGGGAGGTGGAGGGGGGGACAGAATGAAGCCACATCGAGTGTGAGTGCGTCTCGCTGGGAGGGAAATGTCTGGGAGACTGAATGAAGAGCAGAGGAGCGGTGACAGAGAAGTGGACGAGGAAGACACTGTGAATCATCCTGGAGACAGTCGCTCGTGGTTTCATGTGCTCTTAAATGACTTCAAAAACATTGCAGTATTAGTCTGGAAGACAAAACCAGATGAACCACAAACTGTGTTAAACATGTTGGACCGCCCGCACATTTCCTCTGAATCTGTTCATCCGAAGAAATGGGTTTGATTTAATGTCACTTTTGTTGTTAATTTGAATTGTGTTCTCCATGAAGAAAGAAAATCACGAGCGCTGCAGGAAGGAGACATAAAACATCCGACATGAGTTTCTTTGCTCTTCCTTCTCTTGAAGTCAGTGTTTCGTTGAAAAGGCTTTTGGTTCTGATGCTTGAAATAAGGTCTGTGGTTAACACAAGCTGAAGAGGTGTTCTCATGTTGTGCTATGACGTAAAGTTAGTCGGTAAGACCCCACTTTGAAGCTTCAACATGTCCTCAAAAAGGTGATGGCTAACAAGGGGCTGAATGTAACTACAGAGGTTGCTTGGGATATTAAACATCTTCACATTAAACTTCTTCACATGAAACATCGCACGACCCAGCTAGTCTTTGGAATCATGTGACTGTGGTGTAGTTTTGTTTTTATCCTAACATTGGCTTTTTACTTCAACTGATTGCATTCACACTTCAAAAAGTGTCCAAATCTCAAAAACCTTTCTTTGCCATAGAACTTATGTTCTGCACAAATCCCATTGAGTTGTTGTTGTTGACACAATGCGATGCTAACTTTATGCTACGTCATTCCTGTAGCACTCTGAGTTCTTCCGGTAGTGTTCATCATGACTCTCGATGCTCCCTCCCTCCACAGTAGGCTGTAGATCGAACTGTAAACTCTCTACAGTTTTGTAATTAAATGTACAATGTTGCTGTGACATCAAAAAGAGTACTGCTTTTTTTTTTTTTAAACAAAAGTGCTCCCAAGAGAAGGAATAGGCTCAGAGTTCAAACACTAATCAGATGCTGCAGAGGCTCGTTTGTCTTTCTTTTTTTGTATTTAATTTAATTTTGTAGTAATCAATTATCAACAAGGATATCGAACTGACAACCAGCGGGACTGTTACTGGTGTGTGTGTGTGTGTGTGTGTGTGTGTGTGTGTGTGTGTGTGTGTGTGTGTGTGTGTGTGTGTGTGTGTGTGTGTGTGTGTGTGTGTGTGTGTGTGTTGACACGGCCATGTAATTGTAATATCATTGAGAACGGTTTCTCTGGGCTCCTCCCTTCTCTTGCTCTTTTTCATATCGCTCTTGTAAAACAATTTGCTTCGTTGTAAGATAATGCTCTCTGCCATATTGTGTATTGTAACATAATTGTTGCACTATAATTGTGTTCAGGCAAGTTGTATCCTGACTGCAATGTTTAATATAATATTCAGCAATAAAGCTTTGGTTCCCAGACGTTTGCAGATTATTTATTTCTGGGTCAATGAACAAAATGGCGGACAATAAAAGTATGGAGAGCTGGAAAAAAGTAAAAAATAACATTGTTTTAAGTTCAATATGTTTTGATAGCCATTCGTGGGTTTAATTAAACATAGATTTACTTTTTTTCATTTTTTAAATATATTTTTCGAAATAATAGTACATAGTACAAATAAAAGTACAAATAGTACAAAAAAATAATACAAATAAGTGTATTTAAAATAGATATACATATGTGTAAAGTATTGTGTCTTTGATTTCCCTTATAAAAGTATCACTTTATTAAATGAGGCATTTCCTGTCGAGGTGCATTTGTTCAGGAGTGACTTCTCATTTTCTCTCGCCACGTGACAAAAACAAAGCTTGCATTCTTTTCAAATTTAAAATGCGTTATCTGTAGGAGACCACGCCCCGTTCTAGAACGCTGCTCTTAGCGAATCAGCGCTGCGGACGTGAGGGCACGCTCACGCTGATTGGTCCGTTTGAAAATAACATGCACGCAGCCGCTCCATTTAAATGTTTTAAAAGCCCTGTGTTTCCTCTGCCTGTTATCATCTCTACTGTGTAATAAGTGAAAGCAACACGTCTGATCGACTTTCTCCGTCTCTTTTAAGGTAAGCCAGATAAAATATGTAATACTGTACACCTCGGTTAAAGTAAGAGAAAGTATATGCAATGTATTCAACTCGGGTTACTACCACAACATTAACATTTTAAAGTTAATATCCAATTTAAATGCGGAAATGTAAAGCTAACTGACTTAAGCTAAGCTAGCCTGTTGTTAATTTGCTAGCAAGTTCTTTCATTTTCAGCTAACTGCTTGATGATATATAAGGGGTTTCAATTGTTACATTGAAGTAGTAATGCACGCATGTAAACGAGATATTTCAAGTTAAAAACGATGTGATATATTGCTGTACGTCTAGGTTAAATCAAGGTTAACGTTAATTGTCAGTAGGGCACAGTACTACCTTACTGTTTTTCTGTACTATTATTTTTGCTCTGGTCGACAATTAAACTGTATTCTGTCCCATTAACTTGATCCAGATAACACTAACTAAGCATCATGGGATCCAGTGAGAGCAAGGTGGTGGTTTGTGCACCAATAAAACCAGAACCATCGATCAAAAACAGCCGAGTCACTGATCTGATGGACCCACGCTCTCCAACAGCCCTCGATCGTACCCCCATCCAGGTAGGTTACCAGACATACTGTGATCTACTGCAGGGAGAAACATTTAAACACAGGTTAACCATAGCTAATGTTTCTCCTAGGTTGCCGTGTCCAAAACCGAGTGTCCACTGGCGTTCACAGACCCCCGCTCACCGTCTATCGAGATCAGCCGCACCCCCGCCAGAGAAGTCATGAGCGGTAAGCATATATTTACTAATATCCTCCTTTTCAGGTTCAAGGCTTTTATTGTCATTTGTACATAGCATAGTTATGTTAATGAAAATAGGTCACAACAGTGAAACACAATAAAACAGATAATAAACATTTTGTTAGCTGTAAGTTGGCCCTTCATATTGTATAGTTGACAGAAAGTTTACAGGTTTGTGTCATTCACTGTCAATATGTATATTTTCACGTTTTATTTATACTTTATTTGTTTGTTTTCTGCTCTATCATTTCCACATTGCTTTGTTTTAATGTTACTGTGATGAAAAATCCCCAAATCAGGATAAATAAAGTAAATCTTATCATATATTTGTTGAAGAATAATTTCCAGCTTGGCTTTCTCCACGTGCAAATAGTCCTGTTGTTATTATTATGTATTTATTTCAACAAGGACCATGCATACAAATACATTAATATCAGAGAAGAGAAAATATGAATTATGCCAGATTATAGCTAATGGCTAATTTCCATCTGCAGTCCTGTAACATATCGTTCCTTAATTTCCCCTAACAGCCACAGTTGGGTCCTTCGCCCGCCGCCTGGGCTTGCTTTTGCTCAACGAATCTGAGGGCCAAGTCCCTGAAGCGCCTCCCAAATGCTTCAACGCCGTAGAGGATGAGGAGAGTTTTAAGGGTGAAGAGGAGCTGGCGTCCACCGTGCCCCTCCTGTCCCACCAGCCCTCACACACCTACGACTCTTTGGCTAAACACGCTAACCTCCTGGTGACCCCCCTCCAGAGTGAGGGTGACCAGAGCCCCTTCGTGCTCCTGCAGACCCCCCAGGAGGACGTGGAGCTGGAAACAGAGACGGACCTTAGCCTGGAGGAGGCCGAGGAAGCCAGAGAGACTCCGCTTCACAAGAGGCTGAGCATGAGCCTGATCACCTACCATGAGGGGGAGACATCCGCCCAGATCTTCGCTGACGTGCACTGTGACGGGGCTTCATCTCCAAGGATGAGTGCGGACGTGGAGACCCTCGAGGACAACGTGGATCATACCTACGACCTTCCTACAATCACTGTTGAACCAGAGACCCCCGTTGAACCCTCCTTCGCTGCTGATTCAGAGGCTTCCCCAGCACAGGAGACAGAGGAGACAGAAACCAAAGCTCAGGAGACAGAGGAGACAGAAACCAAAGCTCAGGAGACAGAGGAGACAGAAACCAAAGCTCAGGAGACAGAGGAGGAGACAGAAACCAAAGCTCAGGAGACAGAGGAGACAGAAACCAAAGCTCAGGAGACAGAGGAG